TTTGATATATAGAGACTATTTCCGATTAATTTTAATAATTCTTAAGTGGTCCTTCATTTATTGGGGGGCACTGTATACTTAATAATAATTACATATTTTTTAAATAAATATAAATGTAATTAAGTACAATTAGTAATAAGAAATAATTAATAATATTTTAGAATGTTCTATAAAGTTCTGAAAGATTTTGAAAGATTTTGACATATTTTAAGAAGTTCAAAGGTATTTTTAAGTATTTTAGAATTTTTTAATATGTTTTGATCATATGTTCTATAATATAATAAAATGAAAAAATTATTATAGTGACTCTTATTTTCTATGTTTGAATATATTGTAATTGTTATATTTTTCTATTTTAAATTTTGCTAATATTATAAATTTTAAGTTGATTATAAGATATTTATAATTTGTGTTATATATGTGATGGAAATAAATTTAATTATTTTTTAAAAACTATATTGTGATAAAATTACTAAATAATATATAATAAATAATTGAAATTTATATTTAATTTAGAATCGTATTGTTAATCAAATTTCCTTTTATAATAATATAAACACACGTATAATTTGTATTGTTTGTTATAAATCTTTTAACATATTGTTATGGTGAAATCACGATGAGTCAGTCGCTTCGATCTAGCTCACGTCATGTAACAATAGGTCTTGTTTTTGCTTAAAAGAGATGTGTGAATTTGGCCAGAGTTCGTAAATCTTGACACAGATCAGTCTGTCGATCTTGCGTCCCCAAAGAGTTACTTTCTCATGTAGCAATTCCATTAGCTACACATACTGGGGTATTTTCACAAGATAGTTTATTAATAAAGACAGTTTATTAATTATTTATTGTACAATACTTATCCTAATTGTTCCTACTTTTGATATATTTTTAAGTTACTTATATATATTTTGACTTTATACCTATTATATATATTATTCCTGATATACTATTTATATCAGATATATCTTTTATACGTAATATACCTTTTATATCTGATATATCACTTATACCTGATATACTTATCTTTATAATTTCCTATTATTTACCTATTATATTTTTCCTATAACAATATATCTATTTAAAATATTTTTGTTTAGTTAATCAAATATCCAAATTTATTTAATATATTTTTTTGATTAATATTTATTTAACTGCTATATAGAAATTAATATTGAGAAATAATGCAGCTATAGTATCAATTACTATGATGTTTATAATTATATCTAGTTCTAAAAGCTTAAAAATTATATTTATTAAATTTTTTTCTATTAGAATACATATTTATTCTTATTTTCTTTTATTATAATTGTCCTTAAATATTTTAAAATAATCTATTATTGGATTCACTATAAAAATTGATATGGTTTTATTATATTATTAATTTTGTTAAGTTGTTATATTAATAAGAATTACTTTTGTTATTTATATTTGAATGTATATTGATTTTCTTGAATTGATTTTATATAAATATATAACTATACCTTTTTTAGTATAATAAATTAAAAAATAATCACATATTATATTAAAAGATATAAAACATATTTGTATTTGTACAATTGATTTATATTTTATTGCTTGGTCTAAAACATATATATATTTATATTATAGATAATTTTTTGAAAAAAATAAAGTAGCTTAAGTTTTTCTAAAATAAATAAAAATTTTTTATAATATATAAAATCTGCAATAATATAAGTTATATATGTTTTGTTTTGATTTTTTTTTTTATTCAAAATTTGAAAAGAAAATTTTGATATTTTTTTGATTTTGTTCTGATATATAAAATTATTTAATTTATCAAATATGATCTAATTGAAGCAAAATTCTATTGGTATTTAAAAAGATACCTAATTTGATATATAACTAATTAACAGTTTTATAAGATAAATATTAGTTTTTTTTTTCTTAATCTTATGATATATTGTTTACTTTGCTTCTTGTCTTTTTTTTTATAAAATTTGAACTTGTTTTTTTTAATATAAAACAGATAAAAAAAAAGATAATAGATTTGATTAGTTTAAATAAAAGTTACCTGTTTTGTTTTGAAAAGGTGTTGATTGTTAGTTTCTCTTGATATCTTCTAGCTTCTTGCAAGTTGTATAAGTGTTTTGAACTTTTTTCCTGAAATTTTCTAAAAAGGAAATTTTTAAAATTTTTGATGATTGTCAGAAAGAGTTTTTTTTATAAAAACAAATAATAAATATACAAAAAAAAAATATGATATAACTCCCAATTTAATCAATAACTAATGCTTTATAAACTTGCATGTCTTTCCCAGAAACGAGTTCGAGATTCGTTCAACTTAGCTTTGACATTGGCACATTAACAGGTGCGAATTACAGTATAAAATTAGGTCGTACGAGAAACATGTGATTGAATACACAGCCAATATAATTTTTGGTACCAATTTCGCGTCGCGATTATTACTATGTCAAAAGATATTCCTTACTCGGATTATTTTGACGAATATACTGTCGATAACTGGTCCTACTCAAGCTTTATCCGTTACGCCTTTAGCAAAAGGTTACTTCCGTCCGACCCTGTAAAAGTCTATAATTTTAAGTACAGAAAGTGTCTGGATTTTATTGAGCAAAACTACGATCCTTTGAAGCGCTCAAAGGCGATTTCACTAAAGGCCTCGTTCAAGGTCAGTATATTTTTATGTGCAAATGAGCATAACTTGTTAACAACACAATCTGGCTAAACGCCAGATCAATACTATACGGAGTGTCTGCGCGCCACTCTGGGTTTCCTTGGCGTGTTGTTAGAATTGTGCTCTATTAAACCAAGCATCGATACTAGACGGGGTGTCTGCGTGCCACCCTGGGTTTCCTCGTTGCACAATTGATTGTCAATGTATATATTTATTTATTTTGGGACCATTATTAATCTCATCTCATCTTTATCTTGCTTTTGAGCTTGACAAAAAAATGGAAGTGGTTAGCTAACCTTAGTGAATTAGCAAAAAATGAAGAAACTGCAGAGGTGAGCCAGGAATACTACATTAGCTTTCTGGTATTCTACTCTAATAAAATGAATTATTTGCATAGCACGAATATCATACATCGCTAAATAAAGATGTAAGGAAAGAGAAGATGATCTACTCCAGATACCTGTTAGAATCACGGAAATCCAAGCACCAAATCGACAGAAAGGAAGAGGCGACGTCAACCAAAAGGGTGAGTCCAGTTGACATATAATTTTGTAAATCAAATTAAATTCTACAGATAACCGACATATTTATTATTATATATGATGAAGTCAAGCGAAAAGATTTAACAAATGTATCACTTGAAGATGATGGCAAAAGTAATACTAATAACGTTACGTATTCTGGAAAAAGTATGGATGATCTTCTTCCTGACGACCAAGCATATTCAAAAAAACCTCTCATGGAATCAAATCATTCTGATAGTTTGTGTTCGTCATCATCTGCTCCGTCTTCTAATATTAATTGCGAAGGTAATAATGATCTTAGGTTTTTAACATTTCTGAAGGAATATAATGGACTAATTTATACGCACCACATATATGTGTGCAGATATCGAGCCTGAATATTACGATGCCAGGTAACGAACAAAAATCATTTATTCGTGGGAAGATGCAATTGACAAGATTGATTTTAGAAATACTTCAAAGAAGGATGTGAGTAAATAGTGTGGTTGCATCTACTGTACTAACTAACTATACTTAATTCTTTTCAGTGGATTTTTGAAAGTTACAATCTTTCCAATGAGTTCCGTGATTTTCAAAAGATTACGATTCAACAGGTCAAGGAAAAACCGCATTTATGCTACAAAAAAGACATTCAAAAAATTCTGTAAGTATTGAATTCAACCCGAATTATGGTTTGTGATTTTTTTTTTTATTATATATATTATTTTCGTGATAAAATAGATGTCTATCAAATATAATGCTGATTGAGCGGATAAAACCGACATACTTATCTTGCGATCTGGTGAGTTGGAATACTATTCGTCGAAGGAAAACCTAATAAATTTATATGTAATTCTTAAATCCTTAATACCAAGATCACCATTTTGCCCACATGACCTATTTTACTACAAGGGAGTTGATTCATTAAGCTATTACTGCATGATATTAATTCTTAAACTTTTTAAATTCTTTCAACTCTTTGGATGAGATTATAGAGAATAATGAATTGCTTCTCTTTAGTGAAATATTTTGCTAATTTCAACTAAAAAATTATTGCCAGCAAATATTCTTAATTATCATTTCAACATAATCATTGTGATTCTAGGAATAAAAATTTTCTTTTTCTAAAAGAAAGAGGAAAAATAAAGGAAAAAAAGAAATATTTGTCCTGTAAATAAAAATGCTTATATATCAATTACCAGTCAAATGAAAGTCTTTTTTAATCTTGAAGAAAAAAAATCAATACAAAAGAAGAGGAGGAAGATTTCAAATCACTTTAACAAGAGGATACCTTAATACTTTGCTTTTTTGCCATATCCAATTGTATTATCAGTTTTAATATAGTATAACATAAAACATATAAGAAATATATTGTATATCTTGTTTATATTTCTTTTATGTATCACTTAACTAGTTCAAAATTTTGATCAATTACAATTAGAATTTTTGGTATCCCTTAATCCGTAGACCAATTTTTGATAAATTTGACACTTATTTTTGTAATGCATTTTTGAGAAGAATATTATTATGTTATTTGTACTTTGACCATTAAGAAATGATTAACCTTGTCTTGAAGATTTAAATAAACTAAAATATATAGTAAAAGAATACACAATTAAAGAGTAACATGCATCAGGAGATATAAAGCAATTTTGTTAACAAATTAAAATTGTAGGCAAATTTGTTAACAATACAGTTTAAGGAATAACAAAAAATTCAAGGTCAAACTAAAATAGTTAATATTCCTTAGAAAAATCAAAAAATTTTAATATATTTAAAAGCACTATTACAAATATATGAGATTAATAAAAAAAGATTATATATCTAAGAGAATAAGCTCTACTAAGGTTTTGAAAAATATAAACTAATATTAAAATAATATCAAAATAATATCAATTTACAGTAAATTTAATATATAGGTTGTGACCCACTTATATAAATTTATAGTAAATTTAAGTATCAAATTGATATTGAATAGATATTGAAATGATACTATTAAAAGTCCTAAGCTTTACTAACTTATTTATCTGTTTCAGCTTAAGATATCCACTTATAGTAAACCCAAGGTTCTTATAAAACTTGAAGATGTTTCAAAACAACAATAGTAATTCCTAAAAATATTAAAATAAATTTAAAAGAAATAAATATAGATAATTTCAATAAGTAAAGTAATAACAAGAATTATATCATATCAAGATCTTAAAGAAATATACACACAAAGAAACAAATTTATCACAAGGCTTTATGACATAAAAAAACATATTAACTATAAGAATAATAAGTGCAATCAAATATACTGAAGCAAAAATTATATATATACTCTCAAATAGCAAAACAAAAAAAAATTTATATAAATTAATTTACAGCAAACTTTGAATCCAGATAATCCAATTACAATAAAAGAAGTATTTTTAAAAAAAGATAATAAATTAAATATATCAACAATTATATTTAAAAACTTAATAAACATATTATTTTAATTAGTTAAATAACTAAGCTACTTTAATACTAAGCTAACAAACTTTAAAAAAACTTATTTAATAAGAAAATTTAGAGTATACCTTAATTGATTTTAAAAACTGTTACAATTAAATATAGAAAAACTGTTTTTAAGTTTTGATTAAACTCAAATATAAAAGCAAAAAGAATATAGGATCATATAAATTATTAACTTCTTAACTCTTTATTCTTATTATTAACTAAAATTAAAAAAATTCTATTAATATTAAATTTTCCTAAATAACAATAACTATATATTCTTTATAAAAAAATCTATTTATTTTAATTTTCATCAATTGCATATAACAATATATATTATTCAACACCTTAACAAGTTCTATAATTAAATCAAGGAATATAACAACAAACAAATTAATTTTTTATCAATTAAAAGTTCTATCAATATATAAAAATCTTTTTAAAACAGTTTTAAACTAAATAATATCCAATAAAGAAATTGATAATATCAGTTATACTTTTAACCAATTAAAAGATTTTTTATTATATATAATAAAAACTGAAACATAATACAGTACAGCCTTATATCTATTTTTCTTTTCCTTTAACACAATATATAAATTTATATCAAGCATAGATATATACAATATAAGAAAAACTAATCAAAGCTTAAATCAAAATACCTTATTGTCAAAAATATATTATTTGAAATAACAATTATCACTGAAAAATATAATACTATTCAAATACAATACATATCAACAGTATACTCACACTTTCCAATAACAATTGAAAATATAATTGAAACTATTAATATAGAAGAATTCTAATTTTTTTAAAAAATATTATTTTTAAGATATTAAGAAAAAATGACAATATATTAATTATTACATCCAATACCAGTATTTTTATATCCTTAATATTAATAAGTATTTATAATATAGAGAAATTATATAAAATATAATTTAAACAAATCTTATAAAAGAATTATTGAAAAGAAAAATTGATATTATAAGCCTTGATAAAACAAAACTCTTTAAGAAAAGTTAATACTTTGCTTTTCAAAAACAAACAAAATACAAGTGTTTTTTTAATACAAAATCAAACAATTCTTAAAATACAGAAGTTTTTCTTTTAATTTATAAAAATATTCAAAAATTTATAATATTTAATTGTAAGAGTTTAAATTATACATGTGGTGTAAATTATTTTGCTATTGATTTAATTGCCAAAATCCTCAAAAATAATTGCATCTGACTCAATTATTTTATATGTTTTAATAGTGACTCAATTAATTGCATCAAATAATTGTATCAAATTGTGTTAAGAATCTACCAATTTCTATCACATGTATAGTTTAAATATATTGAAATAGTTTAAACAATGAGCTTGTAATTTGGTAAAAGGAAATCACAAAAAAAGATATAAATATTTATTTAAAGAATAATTATATTTTATTAACTCAAAAGCAAAGTACAAGTTTGAGTTTTTACAAAGATAAAAAGGCATCCTTTTTATAACTATTTTTTGTTACATAAATAAATATAAAAATATATAAATAAAAATAAATATTATTATAACTAGTAGCTAGCTATTATTTACCCTTTTTCTTTTCCTACTTGGGTTTTTAGAAGCTGTATGTGTTATATTATATTGTCACAATAGGCTACAATTAATTTACTTATGTTAAGATTGTTAATGTAATGGCAGTAAATGAAAATTTAATAAAAGCTTCATATTTAATACTCTTTTGTAAGAAAAAAAAATTTTATATTATTAATATATAAGTCATTGGTTTTTTAGAAAGCTTATATATTATAAATATAAAAAAAAAATAAAGAATAATATAATAAATATTATACATATTTAATAATAATCTTATGTTTTTCAAATAAGTATAAATATAATTAAATATAATTAGTAATGAAAAATAATTAATAATATTTTGAAATATTTTATAAAGTTTTGAAAGATTTCAAAAGGTTTTAGCATATTTCAGAAAGTTTTGGAATATTTTCAAATATTTTGAAATATTCTGGTATAACAGATATAGCAAAATGAAAAAATTGTTATATTAATTTTCTAAATAAAAAATATAAAACTTGATTTGATTAAGTATATTTATCAAGTGACAAAAAAAGAAATCAAACATTACAAAAAAAGATTCAAGACTTATTTTAGATATACAATACCTACAAAAGAATTATAAAGTTTTCATAATAAAAGATTTTAATATAGTGATAAATTTATAAACAAATTATAATAATAATTTTATAAAAGAATTTGTTAGATCAAACAATCATAGAAGTAAATTGTTTTATTATATAACAAATTAAAACTTAATAGACCTATAACATCTTTAAAAACCATTAGATACAATATATATTTGAAGAAATAAGCAAGTTTCAGTAGAATAAATTATATTTGAAGATCTTATAATATAGCAAATAATATGTTTCAATTTAATAATAAAAATTTCTATTTAATATTTAATAATAACTATACAATACTATCCATTTAAATAATATAAAACACTATACTTAAAAATTATCAAATGATTATAAATATTTACAAATTCCTTAAAAAAAATAATCAATCTTTTTAAAACAATAAAAGTTTAATAAAAAATATATATATATAAAATAAATCAAAAACTATAACAAAGTGATATCTGATTTTAAATTCAAATTCAAATTTTAATTAGATTAATAATAATAGATTAAATCAACTAGTTCAAGACTTATAAAAAATCTTTAAAAAAAACTTTAACAACTTTAACTTTTAATTACCTTTATTATAAAAAAATAATAGTAAAAGAAAATCTGATACAAATTAAAAAGAGATATTATAGAAAGAAAAATATATTTTATAACTACTATTTAATTAACAAAACAATTTACAACTGATCAAAACTAAATAATCCAATAATGTATATAATAAAAAAATTAAAACTGTATAAA